GCTCTCCACAACCACTGCAGCATGAGTTTGATCCCCCATCAAGGAGCTAATTCACATGGAACAGCAGACCTCTCCTGTCAGGCCTACTGCTCCCTTAGCAGTGTATTTCAGTAGATGTGCCTGTTTTGCTCCCCACTTTGTCTCTGGTGAATCCTCTCACCACCCCTCCACCTCTGGCCTACAACCAGCTCTTATATGCATAAATAAATAAAATGAATCTTAAAAAAAAATGAGACCCACTACTTGATATACCATAAAGTCTTAATTTAGTTATTGTTTCTAAGCTCTGGAACAAGGAGAGTGGTTCCAGATGTTTCTACCCCCTACAGAGTAAAAAATCTGAGGTAAGAAGCAAATTTTAAACATAAGGAAACATTCCCTGACAATGAGTCATTTTCAAAAAAATTTAAAAAGCAGTATTTTTATATTAAGATGTTATAAAATTATATTTCAGGATATTTGAAAAGCTTTAGTAAGCAACACTTTCCCTGGGTGCTCTGATTACAACAGGGTTTTATTAATCTTTTGAAAACTCACAATTGTGTTATATAAAATTAAATTTCTCCCTGCCAGGGAAACACCAAGTTCCACAAAGATTCTGAACGGCAGGGCCTAGGTGTCATAGACTCACATACCTGATATTCAGGGCACTTTCAAAACAGACTCCTGCTCCCCAGATCACATGGGCTTATGTGAAAACCAAGTTTTGAATTTTACTTGTTTTATTTCTTATTTTTAAAATGGTGATGTCAACATAGCTGTGGAAATGGTGGCTATGCCCTATTTTCCCTTATGCATCATCAAGAAAATTGCCAGCTCACTTCTGATTCCAAAGTCTTTATTGTGGGATGATGCAGTGAACAAAAGAAACACTTCAATTTGTAAATATTAGTGCAGAGCCAACTAGGGTGGAAAAAAATATATATGTATGCATGTATATATAGCTAGATACACACACATTTGAGCCATTCTATTGTGTATGTATATATACATATATATATATACAATTCTATTGTGTGTATATAGATGTATATATATACACACAAATGTATTTATATATGTGTGTATAGTTATATATACATTTGTGTATATATATATATATACACACACACACACACACACACAATATAGATTTGTGTTTGTGAATATATATGTATGCCAGTTATATAAATATGCACACACATTTGAGACATTCTATTTGTCAGCGAAGGAAAAGATTTATATAGAATATAAAAGTATTCACTTAGTTTTCAGACTTTTAGCACTTCAGGAAATCTTAAAGTCTCATTAAGCCACACTCCCTCCCCTAAAACCTATGCTTAAGAGTACCTAACTATTCCTTTATGAATTTCCCAATATTTGGAGAACTTGTTAATTCTAAGCTAGTTTCCCCACTAAATAAAAAAACTAAACTTTTCTAAGTTTTCCTGGTCTCAGACAAAAATCTACATCCTTAGGCTTTGCTTCCCCTGGAAACTAAACTGGAAGTCCAGTTTAGTTCCAAGTATAAAGTACAAGTGTGTATAATAGGTTATATATAACAAATAGTAGCTAAAAAATAGGAGCATAAAAATATTCAAGTAAAATACAAATTGAATATGCATAGTTAAACTTTTTTAGCTCCAAAGGAAAACTAATATGATCAAAATGGACAGAAGTTGAATATGTGTGTAAATAACTGCAAAAGGAGGCCTCTGTATTAATTTAAGAACATTAATTGTTGATATTATTCTATTTTACTGGCGTTAAAAAAAGAGAGATTTGTGAGACTGGTATAAAATTGCAGGTTTCACAGATGGCAAGAGAAGAACAGAACTTGAATCAGATTTAAGAATAAATGGTTTATATAAGAAGTGACTCCAAAAGAACTCAACACTAGGCAGGTGAGGAAGTGAGAAAGGAAAAAGAAACAGGCATTACAGGGCCCTCCCTGGTGGCGCAATGGGTTAAAGCACTGCATTAGGAAGCTCTCCAAAGCCACGCAGCACAAGTTCAATCCCCAGCCACAGAATTGACCCACGTGACATGGCAGAGCTCTCCTGACCCACCTGCTGCTCCCCTCAGCAGTGTATTTCAGTAGATCTGCCTGTTCTGTCCCCCATTCTGTTTCTGGTGAATCCTCTCATCCACTAGACCTCTGGTTCTGTCAGCATAAATAAATAAATCTTTTTTAAAAAATAGGCATTATAAAAGTTGGGACTTAAGTCCATGGAACAACATTGGGAAGCAATACAAAACTCATATCAGTGAAAACTGATTTGTACATCAAGCAAGTAGACTCACTGTTAGATTAAAAGCCATCCAAGATAAAAGTCACCTTGCCGGGCCCTCCCTGGTGGCACAGCAGCTTAAAGCACAGCACTAAGAAGCCAAAGCCACTTCAGCATGAGTTCTATCCCCGCCCTGGAGGTGATCCACATGGCGCAGCAGACCTCTCCTGACCTGTCCGCTGCTCCCCTCAGCAGTTTACTTCATCACTCGGCCTGTTCTGCTCCCCACTCTGTCTCTGGCGAAGCCTCTCGCTGCCCCTGCACCTCTGGCCTGTACCCCAGTTCTGTATGCATAAATAAATAAATCTTTTGAGTCTGGATTCTGAATCAGCCACTGATGAGCCTTAAAACCTTGCAAAAATTTGGGCTGGTCTAAAAATGAAACAACATGACCCATCATAGCTCTTCTACATCAAGTTATGAGAATAAAATGAGATTACTCCTTTGAAAAGTAAAATAGCACTAAACAAAATACAGGATATAAGGCACAATGATGTATGCTCATTTGAAACAAAAATTTTAGTTCATGTTTTAAAGAAATTATATTTCCTGTAGCTTGAGACTTTCATCAGGAAAAAAAAGAGGACAGTCGTAGATCATAACACATTTTGAATTTTTTCTGGAGCCTCATTCTTTGTTGTTGCTAATAAGAAGATGGCAGCAAAATGGCTTGATGATTCTTTCCTTAGATGTAATGAGCTGTTGATGATTTGTAAACCCACATCTGAGTTAATTGGAAGTCGACAATTGTGCATCCTGGTGAAAATTTCATAATCATCTTTGTTATCAGTAAACATAAAATAGGTTTTAAAAAATAAACACGGCACAAAAGATAACAAGAGAAGCTTTCCTATTTACTTCCTAGATCAACTAATTTTAAGTAAGAGCATTACAAGCAGCAGAGGAAAGTAGGTCTTCTCTTATCTTCCATATCTCTGTGAGCTTTCACTAGACAGATACAGAAGATTATATATGCTTTTTTTAAGTCCAAATTTCAGTAAAAATTTTGAATTTCGTCCCCCCCATTGAGTTTCTAAGATTGACATTTGTTTTTCATATGGACTATAAGTAGCCTCAGAGGCTTTAGGGAACACACTGGACAGGACTATACCTTTCACCTAGTTTTAAATAAAACAAAAAAATAAAAGCACAGTCAGCCAGGAGGAAAAGAAAATAATTTTAAAATTTTCAGGACTGTACCCTCCCTGGTGGTGCAGTGGGTTAAAGCACAGCAATGCAAGCCAACCACAGCCACTTCAGTGCAAGTTCAATCTCCCACCAGAAGGTGACCCACATGGCGCAGCAGACGTCTCCTGTCTTGCCGGTTGCTCCCCTCAGCAGTGTACTTCATCTGTCTGCCTGTTCCACTCCCCACTCTATCGCTGGTGACTCCTCTCACCACCCATGCACCTCTGGCCTATACCCCAATTCTGTATGCATAAATTAATAGATCTTAGAAAAAAATAAAACTTAAAAAAAATTTTTTTCAGGACTTATTCTGTCCTGTAAAATCTACCGTTCAATCATCCCAACAATTCTTTGGGTTAGATATTTTTTTTTATCTCCACTTTACACATGAGAAAACCAATCTATAAAATCTACTTAATGTCACCTTCAGAGAAGAAATTGTGCATTTGAAAATGACAATGATAACTTATGGTCAGGATTGTTTCCTGCTGAAAAGTTCATTCTGATTCCTTTGCTGAGAAGCATGGGTAAGTCATCTTTGCTCTTAAACAATAAAGGTAAAATCTATCTTTCTGGTAGAGTGTTGTCACCAGCACAAAATGGGAGCATTTCTCCATCTAATGCTCTGCTTTCCCACATGTGTAAACAGAGAATTCAAAATGCCAAGGTTTTACCTGGAAAGACTCAAATATAATAAATGAAAGGCTTAGCATAAAGAAATAACAATTGTTAACAATGATGACCAACATTTACGGAGCACTAAGTTTGCTGAAGACACCCAGTAAAACCCTTGGCCTGGGTAATGTCAATGAAGCTTCCCAACTCCATTTGTAGGAAGCACTGCTATTATCCCAATTTTACTAATGAAGAAACCCAGCTTTCAAAAAGTGAATTAATATTCCCAAGGTAACTCACCTTCTTGGATCTATCTGAAGTAAGAACCCAAACACTTAACTGCAAAGATACTTACGGCTGCCATCAAGACCTCATTAAATTTTAGAGCCTAAGTTTAAGATTACTGATTTTCTTTTGTAAAAATCCTAATAGAGATATTTTAAAATCATTATTTCATTTCACTAGAAGTTCAGCAAGTTAAAAATGACCATTTGTGGTAGTAATTTGTCAAAGACAAACACAGAAGTACTTAAAGGTATATACTTCCTCAGCTCTTGACTTAATAAATTCACTTACTGTATGAAGTAAGAGGGTACAGAGGGTAAAATTCTGAAATCCTACCAGTTATATCTACTAGTTATTTCCCATAACTTGTCTACTCCTAATATTTGTGAACATTTGTAAGACAGACGTTCTGAATTTAGGAAGACTAAAGCTACAAGGCCACTCTAACTATATCTGTGCATTCTTGACTATCTGTGCTTATATATATGTGTATAATGATGTGTTTAACCCTGGTAAACATTTCTCAAAGGGGATTAAAGAAAGGACATGAGGGAACCATCTAATTGCAACATCTGAAAAAAGCAAAACTGTGTAGAAAGCATGGATTTAATTTCTGACATGTTCCTGTGAGGGCCACTGTACCTTGACTTCCTTGACTGCTTAGTTCTTCTGGTGGTTCCAGAATGTCATCAGGGTGTGGGATGCAGAATCCATGGAAGGGGCCCAGGTCAAAACACTCATGTATGAGCTTCATGTTTACTCTTGAGCACACACTCATGAACCCAACAGCTATACCTTCCACCTGAAATATCCAAAACATCTCATTACTCTTTCAGACCTCAAATTAATTCTCATCCCAAAACATCCACGAGCTCACAGCATATGAATAGTTGGGAGCTTGGCAGGCACTCTGAGATATATAGGGAAGGGAGTATCTTCCTTTAACAGCTGTAGTGCCCAGCACAATGTATGACACACATAACATAATCAAAGAAATTTCCAACAAATGACCACTGCAGACAATATCCCAGAGGTGCATATGTAATTTAGGGAAGGTCCCAGAGAGTTATTGGGGGAAAAACTATTTGAAACTGAACACATGCCTTCATTGGCCAGACAATGATCCTGCCTGCCCATATTCTTTTTGATTAGCACATTGCCAAGAATTTCCTGTCTACTTTCCTCCCCTGCATCATGTACAAATCTCAGTAAGACCAGCCACTATTCCCATCATTACTCCACCTAGTCAAACCCAAATTTTGAGAAAGTTAGTGGACAATCATTGCTTATCAGGTAGAAATGCTTCAGTTTCCCATAACTGATTTATCTGATGGAATGATCCCTGGGAAGGAAGTGTGAAGAAGGTTTGTTGGGAATTTTTGAGTAAAGTAAAATTATGGGGCTAGACCAACTGAATCCAATCTGCAAACACATTGCTTCCTAGTCTCTTAACAGTGATCTCCATAATTTTTAGGTGGTAAGATAATTCTGACAATGTGCTCCAGTAAGAGACATATTTTAGTTCTTTATTTCTGGTTCTTAGCACAAAGCTCCTAAAATCCTTGCCATGTCCTGACAGGAGCATCTTGTTTTTCATCAAAAGCCCCTTTCAGCTATACCTGCTTAGGCTAATGAGCTGACACTTGAAGAATTGGGGCTGGTTGTCACTGGAACTGTTTAACCAGAAGTTTGGCAACCTGAGCTCCAATATCATCCCACCTCTAGAGAGGAGAGAAGGGCTGAACCGAATTAAACTAATGAGCAATGATTTAATTTAGCCTTAAAGAAAATACCACAAAAACAAACATTAAAAAAAATCAGTAATATCTGGAAGTTTACAGGTTGGTGGACACATTGAGGTGCAATGAGTCTGGTGTGCTGGAGAAGTCACAGAAGGCCTGCACTCCCTTGCTCCCATACCTGGCCCTGTGCATCTCTTCCATTTGGCTGTTTATGTGTTTTATTCCTATTAATAAACTGGTAATAGTAAATAAAAAGTGCTTTTCTGAGTTTTATAGGCTGCTCAACAAATTACAGATTACTGAAAAAGGGGGTCATGGAAACCCCTAATGTATAGTTAGTCAGATGTTCAGATGACTTAACAACTGACATCTGAAATGGGGGTTCAGGGGCTTGAGCCCCTGACCTCAGTATCTGCACTAACTCTGGGTTACATCCATTTAAACTGCAGGATACCCAGCAGACAGAAAAATTTGGTTGGCATAGAGAAAACCACACACATTGGTGTCAGAGTGTTCTAAGTATAGGAAATAAATTTTTGGTTCTTTTATGAGTAGCTACATTATGCACTCCTATTGTTGGTACCAATTATTATAAACGAACAGCAACTTTTTAAATTCTACAGATATGTGATATTGCAGGACAACTATAATTATAATCTTATATTGTGTCTCTTTATAATTCTGTATTTCATTCAACTCTGCAAGGAAAACACTTTGAAATTTTCTTTTCTTTTTTTGTAAGATTCATGTTATTTATTTATGCATATGAGAGCTGGGGTGTAGGCCAGAAGTGGGGGCTGGTGAGAGCATTCACCAGAGACAGAGTGTGGAGAAGAACAGACAGACTGACTGAAATACACCGCTAAGGGAAGCAGCGGGTGAGATTGGGAGAGGTCTGCTGGGCCATGTGGGTTATCTGCCAGGCCCAGGATAGAATTTGTGCTACAATGGCTGGATAGTTTCACTGTGCTGAGATTTAACCCTTTGTGCCACCAGGGAGGTCCCTGAATTTATTTTTTTTTTTGTTAAGAAAGCAAGAGATGACTGTATAGACCTTTAAATGTCACATAAATATCTCCTGCTGATTATTATGTGGGTTTGAAGCACCTTCTGGCTAGCTGATTTGACTCTGACAACTTTCACTAGAAGCCAGCATTTACTGAGCTCTAGTCCTTAAATCTTCATACTGTTTTTTCTTGAGACAACCATTCTACTCAGGAGGTAAAAGAACTGAACATTCATAGACACTCCCTTGCCCTAAGGGTGCAGCTCTTTCCCATAAACGCTCATCCCGCTCATCCGCAGAAAATAGTTATTTTAATATCTTAAAGCAGAGAATTAGCTACAATAATGACACAGAAAAAAAATACATACTAAACAATTTATCCTCAAATGTGTCTTCTAGTTTAAAGTCACTTATTCACAAACATGTTTAAAAAAATAAATGTGAGCTCTTTAATTTTCTCTATAATCTTGAAATATAAGAGGAACTTCCTAATATTAATTTTTCCATGCAAATTTTTTCTTTACAGCCCCCTGCCCCCAAATGGTTCTAGCTGTAAAAGGCTGGATTTACACAGCTGTTTTATAAAGCCATCGACACTTTTAATAAAAGTCCAAAGTAAACATTTTAATTTTTTTCCCAAATAACAAGTGATTGTTTGTCTTGTTTGCACTCGTGAACAAAGGCTGTGTAGCCGCAGTTGTCTGGCTTCTCTGTAATTTTAGGCCCAAGACTCAGCAGACGCTGATTAACCAATCCATCTACCATATGTGCAGAAAGAGACTGGCCAGCCTCACTCTCGGCAGGGAAAATTGGCATCCATCTTGGTTCACATGGAGATGTCCTTCTAATCTACAGCCACGCTGGCGCAACGAAACTTCGATGGCCTGAAATACCTTTTGCTGGCTTCACAGTGAGCTGCATGTGCATGATAAGAATGTATTATTTATAAGACCGCTGTTAGTAATGAGCTATTACACTAATGGCTCATTGTGTTTGGAATTTGATTTCAAATGGCATGGATCACACATTCTGATGAAAATGAGAAAAACATGTTTTGCCATTAGAAACAAAGATTTAACGTTTTCCAATTCTACAACCTGTTATATCCCCATCATTCATCCCGGGTTGTGACAATTCACAAAAGTTCACAATTATGCACTACAACAGAGCAAGTATTGAAAAATACCTGCTTTTGCTTTCAGGTTTCTTTCAAACCATGCTCCTGATTTGAGAAACAAATATGAATTTATGGGAGCATTCAAGTGCAACTTTGTGTGTGTGTTTGCATGGTATGTACTCCGAAAAATAAATGGATTTAGTGGACTTTTTTTATGTGAACAATGAAAAGGCATTGATTGCAGGCTGCTATTTATCTTTCAGGTCACAGAGTTACTTTGTACTACAAAGGTGTCTAAATAATCTTATACTTGAAAGAAAATATATATAAGGGTTCCATTGCTAGAAATCATATGCAGTGGCCTTGTGTTTGCAATCAGATACATTAACAGACATGAGTACACTGTATTGTTGATGCACCTGTCCAAAAAGCCCTACAGTCACCATCCCTTTTGGGTGGCAGCTCTACACATGAGGATACTCTCATTGTCACTACTGCCAGCTTGATCCTTTCTGCTAATGCCAAGGGCATGTCTGAGCTGGCAGAATCTGCCCACCCACAGGTCAACAGTGCCTACTCTGTCCACTGCTGCCTAGATCGTGGATGATGCCAAAGCAGATCCTTGGTCCATCTGTCTCCAGGAGCCGCCTTGGCCGGCAACTGCCCTTCCTTGAAATCTCAGCTTGTAGTAAACACCAGATGTCAAGGTAAGCCAGGATAAAGTTATGAAAAGGAACTTGTAGCAAAGCAATGAATCAAAATTTCTCCAAAGTAGCTGTTAAGTCAAAGAAAGACCTCAGTTAAAGACCTTTAACGAGTAAAGTGTTTCCAACATCATGAAGATAAAGCTCTCAGACGACCTACAGGCATGATCTGAAACAGGATTGTTTGGAAAGAGACAGTCTTGGTTCACTTTATTACATTATCTTTGATGAACCATGCTCACCTAAATATAATGCGCTGGTAAATGCCTAATCAGCATTTAGGGGCCAAAAGCCCTGGGTTGTAGCATTTGCCAATTTTGATGGTATAAATACTCCAACTGTGGCCAAGTCTAAGCTACCAGTGTGATCAGGGATGAAATGTGTGATGTCACAGGGAGCTGGGGAGAGATTCTCAGTAGATACCATTGTAGTTTCCACTGTTTAGAGGCCATGAGCATAAATAGCCTCAAAAAGCATAAATTATAGTTAAAAAATAGGAAGTGATACATCATGAATATTAACTTTACTTTTAGGAAAACTTATTACACTGTAAGCTTATATATCTTAATTGTTTGACAGTCAACTTACCAGGTTCCTAATGATTTAACAACTGACTCTCATGAGCCAGAGCAAGTTAACTCATCACACCACTACCTAAAACAACAATCTTTGGAAATTTAGATGGCTGAGAGAAGGGTCCTAGGAGGCAGGTAGAACGGTAATGAAAGAATTGATTTTGGAACAGAAAGGGTTTAAGATACAGTATGGCATGGTGCACACTTGAAAACTTAAGTGCACAGTACCATACCCACAAAACACAAAGCATCTGATATCTGAGGCAGCATGGTCTCTCAGAGATTGGGCTGGTCTTCTTTGTCTTTTAGACACCAAAGGGCCTGTGTATGATTTAGACTACAATGTTGAAATCTGTGAATTTCTGAGGGTAATTACATAACCAAAGGGTACAATGTATGATGAGAGAAAGAACATAGGGGAAGAGGTCACTGAAGTGCTCTTCACAAGTAATAACTGAAGATCTCACTGGAAACTAGCACCTTGACACCTAACAGTTAAATGTTTCCCCAGAGTGATGCATCATGGCAGCCTAAGACGTACATAGTTTTTGTCTTCCAGTTCAATTAAAAACATTCAGCAACCATTCATAAATAACAGTGCCTTTGAGGGACTATGGGATCCAGCACCAAATCTGAATGTCCACCCATGTATCAAGAA